TTTTTTACTAGTTTTTCTTAGTAAAAATATCTCTAAAGCTGCAAAAACATTTTTTACTATGTTTTTTTTTAATAAATAAGTATTTTTGAAACTGTAAAAGCATTTTTTACTATAGTTTTTTTTTTAGTAAAACCATCTCTGAAGTTGAAATAGTTTTATTATTGATTTGAAATAAATCAAATATTTAAATAAATACTTGATTTGAATTTGATTAAATCAAATCAAATATAAATTTGTTATTTAATTTAATTTTTAAATCAAATATTCAAATATCAAATCAAATTGCAGAACTCTAGAAATTATACTTTATTAATAAATATTAGTTATAAATTAGATTTAATTTCAAAATATAAAAAACAATTTGTATATTTTTCTGAATTATTACAAGATTTAAAAGTAATTAAAAAAAAATAATCAGCTAATTTTTTTATGTAAAAATAAAATTATAGGTAAAGTAGTAAGAGATGTAGCCTTAAAAAATATTTCAAAAATAAGATTAAGATAATAGTAATAATACTGAGGAACAGCTCACCTAGAAGACTTTCTGAAGATCTAGAAGCATTAAAAAAACCTACTTTTAATATCTTCTCAGAAGCCCTCTCAGAAAAATTTTACTACAAACAATAGTAATGACTTTCTAAGGCTAACACTCTATTGCATCAGATATTTTTATCCTATCGAAAGCCTAACTCATTGCCTTTGAGGTCTAATATCTTATCCAACTTTTTCTGATGATAATATGCATTCAAATGATACTTTTTTACATGCTAATCATAAAATTCATATTTAGAAGCTATCAGTCTTTCACATCTATCTTATTTGCATAGAGATCGCTAATATCTTTCCAGTGAATACAATATCCTTCTGGTTTTCTATTTCCCCACCTACAAACCTCCCCTTCATTAGAACTAGAGTTCTGCAATTCGATTTGATATTTGAATATTTGATTTGATCAAATTCAAATCAAAGAATGATTTATTTGATCAAATCCAAATTAATATTTGATTTGATTTGAGCAAATTCAAATTAAGTATTCAAATATTTGATTTGATTTGAATCAATAGTAAAGCCATCTCCAAAGCTTCAGAAGTGTTACTTAATAAGAAACTATAGTAAAAAGCACTTCCGTGGCTTCAAAAATGCCTTTTTACTAGAAAAACTATAGCAAAAACACCTCCACAGCTTCAGAAATGTCTTATTTACTAAGAAAAACATAGTAAAAATGCCTTCGCAGTTTCAGAGACGTTATTTTACTTAGAAAATATAGTAAAAAACGCCTCTGCAACTTCAGAGATACTATTTTACTAAGAAAACATAGTAAAAAATGCCTCTGCAGCTTTGGAGACGTTTTTTACTAAGACACATAGTAAAAAAACGCCTCTGTAACTTCAGAAACATTTTTACTAAGAAACCTAATAAAAAACGTCTCTGCAGTTTTAGAAACGTTTTTTTACTAATAAAATTGCTATGAAGCCAAAATTGCGGTTATTACTAGATTTTTTTAGTAAAACTGAAGTTGTGATAGTGGTTATTACTGGGTTTTCTTAGTAAAACTGAAGCCGCGATGGCAGTTATTACTAAGTTTTCTTAGTAAACTGAAACTGCAATAGCGGTTATTACTAAGTTTTCTTAGTAAAACTGAAGCTGCGAAGTTATTTTACTAAGTTTAATAGTAAAAATTTATCTGTTACTAAACTTACTTTGTAAAAGCTATCTTTGAAATTTTTTAGTGCAATTACTAATAATTTTCTTAATTAAAACTTTAGAATAACTTTATTTTAATATATCATTAAATTAAAAAAAAATTATATTCAATTTGATTTGATCAATTCGATTCAATTCAATTCGATTTGAAAAAATCAAATCAAATTCAAATTGCTTAAATATTTGATTCAATTCAATTTTGAGAAACCCTAATTGGAATAATACTGGCAAATGTATTTACTTCCCATTGATATTATTCTTAGATAAATAACACTTTGATATCTATAATTATTTATTTTTATTTTAAACTTTTTTACTAAGGTATTATACTGAAATAGTATACTAGATAACATAACTAAAAATTTTTACTATAATACAATCTGAGCTTTTAGAGTTTTTCGACGCTTTCGCCTTATTTTTTTATCCAGAAGCTGAAAAAGATAAAATAGAAGGCCAACTGATTTGCTATTCCGGTGAAAAAAACTTGTTAGACATCTAAATACTGGATGATATAGTTGCAGAAAATAATGAGGGATTATCTTCAATTCTCGAAGATGCTTTATCTAAATGATAAGATATTTTATTCATGGCTATTGAGAATGAAGGATCAACAGAAAGGATAAATAGAATATACTGCTATATATTGCGTCTTTATGGTCACCTTATTAATGACCAAAAGGCACTGGTAACTCTTATAAATATTCAAGTTTTCTTTGATATTCTCATACCAAATGGAGAGACTTCAGATGAATGTAAAAAAAAGGTGAGCGAAATTCTTTCTGGTATTGTGAAATCATTTAAAATGGAGCACATTAAAACTTTCATTTTCAGGGTTATCATACTAAAAAAAAGTCATATTTATGAATGGTACTGGAGTGAGAAAGAAAGCCATCCAAACTATCCAAGAAAATAATTTTGAAACTGCTTTAGATGATTTATACTTATTCTACCAAAAGGTGGTTCGAAAAAATGGAATCAAACTCTCTAGATGGTCCACAATAAATAAATATATATGCAAGAAAGGTAAATAGACCAGCTCATTTTATCTACACAAATTTTATGTGTTGAAGCCATGATCTGTAACTGCGGTGATCATCTGATTTAGTTGACAAATATGACAGATTGGTTATATTTGACTGATGATTTATATTTATTATATTTATAATATTTGTTTATTAACTTTATTAAATTTGTTATATTTGATAGATTTATTATATTTATTTTATTTATCATATTAGTTATATTTATTATATTAGATATATTTATCATATCATATTACTATTACCATATATCTCCAAAAATAAGCAATCTCGAAATTATATTATTAGTGAAATAACTCCAATCAGACCAACTGGTTGTCCCATCAGACTCCGGTAATAATCACTAGTAGAATTACTATCACCACCCAACTAAAAGGAGAAAAACGTTTGACAAATAGTTATTACTGCATTAGTAATAAGGACCATTTCTGTCTATGTACGTAAGATTTATTTATTAAAGAAATATGATCATATTTTAGAACATGATTGGAAGAGAAAGAGTTAGAAAAACTGTTGATAGTAAAATAATGTGATGAACTATAGTTAAGTTTTTTACTATATTGTGAGATGTTAAAAGATCATTCTTTGGTTATAATAGCTTCGCATCTGATTTTTCAAATAATTTCGTAAGTATGATCAAAAATAAAATCGTAAAAAGAGGATAGAATTTAGATGTAAGTAATGAGGATTTTGTAAAGGAGTCGAGTAAATTAGGAAGAGCCGTGGGGACGATGCCTTTGTTGAAGTCTATAAATGTAAAATTGTATTAGTCAGCTCTGAGAGACCAATATGGGTATAAGAGAAGAAAAAGTGAAGAAATATCTTCAGGATAAACAAGTTTAGAAGTGTGAATAAACATTTATTGTTTGAGTAATTTTAAGGCTTCCATAATGATATTTTTCATTCTGTTTTGATCTTAGTGCAAATTCATATATGATTGAAATTTTCATCCTTGATGAGACAACAGCAGCATTTCCATGAGGAATTATAGAATTTAGGTTATGTTGCTTTTAAAAATTCAAATTGTTGAAATCTGCTTAAAGAGGAACTTGAGTCTTTTACAATACGCTCAGGATTCTTTAAATGATGTTTCTGTAGGAATGCTAAGTTTGAAAATTTAAAGGTCAGAGACCAGTTTATGTGTAAAAGACTATATTTGCGATTTCTTTTTAAAGAGTAAAAATCAATGAAATGTTTGGTATTAGTGAAATCTTTTAGGAAAGAACATAGCGTCGTGAGAATAGGCATGTTATTGAAAGTCAGAATATAAGAAAGATAAGGTGTTTGTGTAAAGTTTATAGAAAGAGGAGAGTGGAAGAGAGAAGATTTGGTAAGAAGATCGATCTTATTATTATAAGGATCATCAGAATGCGCAGCTACTTTTTTTAGTAATAGGAAAATATTTAGTTCTTTCAAAAGTTTGAAAATAAAGGACCAATATAAATTAAAAGATAATTTGAATATTAAAGAAGGTTAGTTGAAGACATTCTGTTTTCTGACTTTGTTGTATGAGTGAATTAGTGATAGACTATCTGTACAAATGTTAATTTCAGAATTAGAAGGGCAGATAAGTAAAACTAGAAGTAAAGCAAAAATTTCAGCATTAGTAGAGTTAGCTCAAAAACAAGGAATGTCAGTAGTAAAATCTATATTAAAATTATCATGTACAAGAAAAAAGGCAGAACTTAAATAGGAACTAGAATAAGTAAAATGAGGAATAAATTTACAAGAACCATCAGTATAAAGGTAAGTAAGTGTTTATCTTTTAAAGTAAATTTGAATTGATTTAAGAGTGTGCAGGTTGCTGGTGAGGATATTAAGGATTCTACAATACAAAAGGGAAATTATTATTAATCAAAAGATTATTGGGTATAATGATCAGTCTTATGTCTAGATATTTTTGTGTAGCTTGATCATATACAGTTTTGATATTTCTTTTCAAAATGTAAAAGTCTTTCTGAATTTACTGAGGTAAAATAATTAGTTTGAATAAGTTGAGGTAGGTTAATATCAATTAGATTTCCACAGAAGAGCTATTGAGAAGCAACTGGAAGTCTGACACATTGTGATTCCTCGTGAAAGATACAACCAGTATAGGCTATAAAAGTATTTTATTTTTTTAATAGAGATCTTGGATCAGCTGTTAGATTGATCGGGATGAAGTGTTGTAATAAAATTTTGTCTGGAAAAAGTAGAGATTTATAAGATTTTCCAATAATAGTCTGTCCTGGGTAAGGTAGATTATAGAAGTTTGTTTCAGGTGGGGTCCAAAGAGCAATCCAATCTGATATCTTGGAAGAATCTATGGGAGAGGAAGTTTTAAAACCAGCAGGAACAAATGGACTAATAATATATTGATCTTTGATTCTATTCGATTGTACGGGATTTAAAATGATAGTCTTTTCTAAATGAGAGAATCATTCTGGATAACTACCTTTAACAGTGTGGTGATCGTTGTTAATATGAGTGCTGATATCTCTGAAATTTATAAGAAAGTTACCCTCACAAATGAGCTGATCCAGAAATAATATCGATTTGTATCATAATGAATTTATCCACTTTTTTTCTAAGGAATGATGTCTTGAAATAGTGTTTTATCCCCTTTGATTTTGAATTTAGAATAAATTGCTGATGTATTTGAAAATGACAAATTCGATTGTAAATAAAAGGAAATTATATTGCCAAGATAGTTGTCATGACGAAATTTGTTCAGAGAAGCAGGCTAACAAATCAAAGGGTTGTCATAAAGCAGAAAAATTCTTGAAGTTGTTTAAGTCTGATTTTGGTTATTTTCATGAAAAGCGATAGAGATGAGTCATCATTAATCATATTGGTGAAATGTTGAAGTTTTGAATGTAACATATTTTGCTTCAAAATCATTGAAAACATTTGTCAGTTTGCTAGTTAACATGTTATTTGGTATAGACTTTAGGAATTTGAGTTTGTGTTTGAGGAAAATCCTGACTTTGGTAAACAGAGTATTGCATTCTTTAGGTGATAAGACAACTAATTGTAAACGATATTCAATCCTAGAAATCAAGACCATATTAAATATATATTTCAATTGTTTATCTGTCAATAGCTTATATTTTAGTTTTAAAATAAACTCTGCAATTTCACTTTGAATTTGTTGTTTGATAAAAGTTTTGTTATATTTTGCAGAAATTCATACACCCAAATATCTAGTTGATTTTGATGGTTTTCTTGTTGGGAAGGAAATCGGTTAGTTTAAAAATTCACTAAATATTGAGATATTCACATCAGTTGTCTCAGTTGTTAAGATAAAGGACTTATCATAATTAACTTTCATCGAGTTGAGGTCGAAGAATGATTGAGCAATGTCAAATATAGCAGTCAAATTCGATAAATTATCAGTAACCCAAATTGTGTCGTCCATATATGCTGAGTTTGGAATATAAGCAGAAATTTCTGAAGTTTCTGTTTTGGTGATGTCCAGTTTCTATGATACTAACATTTTATATCCTAAAGAAAAGTTTCGAATTCGTGACAGGAGGGGATCGTAATAAATTACCCAGAGAAGAGGAGAGATAACCTCTCCTTGGTCAATTCCAACAATAACATCATAGGGATCAGTGTTACCGTATGCTGTAAAAACGGAGTTCTTTTTGTTTAAAAAAAGATTAGTAATGACATTAGTAAATGGTGAGGAAATTTTTAATCGTTTCATTGCTTTTCGTAACATGAAGATATTGACTCTATTATAGGCTTTTGATATATCTTAAAAAACATATATAAATTTGAACGACTGGACTTGTTCATTTTATTATTTAAGCAATGAAATTCAAGAATGTTGTTGATGATATGTAATAGTTTCATCATTGATTGATGTAGTAAACCTGCAAAATTAAGGTCTTTAAGTATGTTATGTTTAATGAATACGTCCTGTAGTCTTTGATTTAGGATCTTAACAAATGCTTTTCTAATAGTGTCCAGGAGTGTAATAGGATGTGTATTAACTAAATTGCAATTCCAAGCTTTAGGTTTTGGGATTGGGTACAGGTATGCTAAATTTAATTACGTAGGTGTCTGCGAACTTACAAAACAGGCATAGATAATAGTGTATAGAAATTTATTCATTTTTGGGCCTAGTTTTTTCAACATTTCATTAAGTATTTGAGAAGGGTCAGGAGCTATATGATCAGGCAGATGTTTTAGAATAGATAACCATTCATCGTATGTAGGGATGTCCATGATTCCTTTATAAAAATTGTCACAAATAGTATCAATAGGGTCATAGTAGCAATGCCATTCAGTCCAATTTGGATTAAAATTGTTTGAGTGTTGATCAGTGATAATTCTATTTGTAAAACCAGTGATAATTTGAAAATGCATTGCAGTGTGAGCTTTGATATCATCTGAAACAACTGTGAGATATTGTAATAGAGTGTCAGCATTGACCATTACTTTATCAAGAATAATGGCTTTCCTATTTCTTTCAAGACAAAAATCTATCATTTTAGTAGGGAAGTCTTTGAAGTTCTTATTCCTTTGTTTAATAAATTCTAAAATTCTTTCATTGTTTTTAGTTTGAAAAACAATATGTTGTTTAGCTTGCATAGGTTTAATAATATCTGTTTTAGTTTATGTAAATAATTCAATAGGCGATTATTTGAAAAATAGTCATCAATCGAAGATGTAGAAATGAAATTTTGAGAAGCAATAGTTAGCAAAATTTTGTGTTCGTCGGGTAAGATTGGAAAAGGGGAAGTTGAAAGATGTGTTGAAGAAAAGCTTTTTTTAACTTGTAAAAGATTTTATATAACTTATTTATTTGTTTGTTAATAGAAGAGGTTGAGGTCGTGAATAAAGAGTTATGATGGGAAGTGGTCATTTGTTTAGGTAAATGCTTTTTTGCAAATGTTAAAATGGTCATAGTGAAGAATATCCAAGCAGCATTAAATGCGTTCTGAGATATGCAAAGATTCTGGGTTGTGCTGTTTTTAAATTTTGGGTCAATTTTAAGAATAAAATCCATTTTATCAGCAAAGAGATCACATTAGAGAAGAGTGATCTTATTGAAAAGAAAATTTTTCTTTGTCACTTTGTGTTGTTGAAAGTAAGCATTTGATGATTGATTAAAAAAATTATTTTTGTAAAGTGAGATTAGAAGAGGAAAATGATCAGTCGAGTACAAAAAGGAGAAATCGTTAAGTATATCAAAAAAGACAAGATCGTGTGTAAGGGAAGATGAGATAAATATATAATCAATGTGAGAGGAGTAAGAGGTAGAGGTTGATTTGAAAGTGGAAGGAAAGGATGGATTGAAAGGGGCAATGGTATGGAGAAATCCAAGATTGATGATATTGTGTAAGAAGTTTTGTAATGTTCGTTTGCATTTTGATTTATAGGTCCTTGAGATATCAATGTTAAAGTCGCCTATGAGAATAATATGAAAATTGTTTCTTCAACTCTGAATTAGAAGATCCATTAATTTGGTTTGAATTTGAATTCGCTGTTGAAAAGATTTTTTGTCGTGAAAACTGACGGGAAGATAAATTTGAAAAACGCATAGTTTGAATTTGTTTTTGAATTGAAAGTCTAAGTATAATATTCAGTTGAAGAAGGAGCCTTAATTAAAAAGATGTGAACATAAACTATTTCTGACGATTAACCCTACTCTTTGACAATTTTGGAAACGGTTGAAACTGTAGAAAAAAATTTATAATGCTTATTGTGGAAATTATGGTTAAGATTTCTAGCTTATAGGTAGGTAAGGTAAGTTTTGCTTAAACCAAGAATATCTAAATTAAAGTTAATAAAAATTGTTCTACTTGTTGGAGACGATCTGAAGAAATACAGCTTCTTACAATATGGGTTGCAATTGAAAGTAAATTAGGATTGTTAATAGTGGTTAATAGATTTGCATTAGTATTATTATTATTCATTGAAACCGTTGAAAATGTTCCATTATTTTTTGTGAGAGGGAGTTGTGATATCATTTGAAAATGGTAAACGATTGAATCATAGGGCCGATGGTAGTGATCAAATTTCTCATTTCTATCTTGATATCATTTACTGAAGTTTCGACTAAGTTAATTCGTTGGAGATTATGTTGGTTGAAATTTTTGGGATATTCTGTTCGTTGTTGGTGGAAATTGATTGGGTGTTTTCTATGGGAAGATTAATATCTTCAGACATTAAAAATTCATCATGCGATGGGAAAACATATTTGGGTCAGTAGCATGATTCACATTGTATTCAATGTTGTGCATTACTTCAAGATGATTTAGACGAAAACCAATATCATCTTCATTTTGTTGGATTTCAAGTAGATCATTTTTGATGAACACGATTTTATCACTAATTGTAAGTAGTTTGTTGTCAATATTATCGAGTCTTTCCTGAACTAATTTTAACATATCGACAAAATTTGGGTTGGCAGAAGATGACTGGTTGTTATTATGATGAGTGGAATTATTATTTTTAAGCGTATCAGCATAGGAAATATTGCTATTAGGTCTATTCGAATTGTTATTTCTTGGTAGGCGGTATAGTTCCAGTTTAAAGTGATCATAGAGTGTCTGTAAGGGTTTGCCATTTTACGATTGGTATAATCTTTAAATTCATGGTTAGGCGTGTCACAGCTTCTACAATGTTTAAAAGAAGGTTCTATCCAATAGAGAGTCTTTCCTTTAAATTTTTGTGATTGCATAGTCGCAGTATCTAAGTCCTCAAGGGTGACAAAATTAATAAAAGCATACAGTCTTAATCAATATTGTTGATCACGTGAAATAAAACATGATCTGGCTTTGATATGTGTGAGAAAATCACTAAGTTGTATTAAAAGGCAAGCCTGTGAGTTTTAACTCAAATTGTTGATGAAATGCAGTTTGTAAAGGGTTAAGATCTGTTGGTTCCACTCTGAGTGCAATGTCTAAAAATTGGATAGACTAGTGTTCATCATAAAATGGTTTGATGATGTCAGCATCTTCGAATACAACGAATACAATCTGCCATAAGCCTCGGATGATCATTAAAAATCTGGTGATCATTTCATATTTTGAAAAGAAATTTCGTAGTACGTCAGATTTGACGAATAAGGGAATGTCTGACACTTTAAGGGTTCTTCCTTTTTCAGCGTCTTGTTTAATCTTTTTTTCTGCAAGGTCAATGATGGTAAAGATCAAATTATGTTATGTCTTCTGAACTTTTGTAATAGCCTGTATTAATTCCTCCATTGATCGAAAATAAACTGAGAACTTTCTGAATTTGGAAACGTAAGTGGAGCTTTGATAACTATTAAAGCATATGAAACGGAAATTGATAAATATGTGTTTTTCAGCTATGGATTTCCTTTTATATCTGATGTGTTGTCTGTCACGTAAAAACATGTAGGAGCAGTAATGACATTGAAAGAAACCCCCTGAGATTCTTGGTTATGTGTTTCTTCATTTTGCTTAATTTTTTCAGACCAAGTTTGTTTTTGTTTACCTTTGGTATTCGTAGGAAGAATATAATCAAAACCAGTATCAGCGAACATGTTATCCTTATTGTTATTGGCATGCATTGAGTCATTTGTTGTTTGCTTTGGTAAAATTGGTAGTAAAGGGAAAGCTTCAGGAATAGCGTCAACTTCCATTTCTAATGGTATCTCAATTAGAAGAACAATATTATCAGTTGTTTGGTCTGGTTGCATAAAATCACTATTATTAGGAGCTTCCCTCATTGTAATATTATTAGTGTCAGAGTCAATTATATTTTTGTTAGAAAGTGTTGAAGTTTTTTGTTTTTTTGAAAAAGAAAGTTTTTCGTTAAGTTCAGTTATTTTAGAAGAAGAACTAATGACAGTGGAGTTAAGAACTGGGGTGCTACATTTGTTTCGTTGATAAATTTATTATTTTGTTGTTTGGAAGAAGTCGCGATAGTCACTGACATATTTTTTTTATTTTTTTTGTATTAATCTTTTTTAGTGAACTGGACATTTGGGAGAAAGAGTTTTTTTTTGATTTTGGATTAGCCTGGTTTGAGTTATTTGCAATCTTATTTCAAAATCCAGACTCCTTTATTTAAAGTAAAATTTATTGATTTATAATTTCAGCCAATAATACAATTGCGATTATTTCGAGATTGAATGATCTGAAATCAATAAACTTTAGCTCATTGGATTCGTCTATCGCAAGGAATCGAATGGTAGTTATTTTATACAAATCGGTATGATATTGACCGAGATCATATATCTTTGTTTTTTTTGTTTTTTCTATATATAAAAATCATGTGATATGACGTTATTTTGACCATTTCGACTTTTCACTTCTAATAGTTGAAATGATTTCGACCATTTCAACTATTTCGGATATCCAAAATGATCTATTTCAACTTCATATATATACCAAATACATAAAACTCTCCTGAAAAATATTCCTAGATGTAGCTATAGCTGAATAACACGTTCAAATTGTGTATACCAATATGATTTATTATTTCTTACACATGATCATTATAAGCGTAAAAAATATATAACAATACTTAATATAATAGACTGCACTTTCCGATATAAGGCTTCTGTTCCACTCACATCGAAGAAGAATTCAGAAGTTGCTAGAGCATTCAGAAAAAAATATGATGATTCTAATAATCCACTTGTATGGTCAGTGCTTCTACAATGTGATAGGGATCGTGAATTTATGGGAAAGACTTCTTGATTAATGAAGAAACATAATGTTATTATTTAAGTGATTGGTGTATATTCTCATTGAGGAGTAGCTTTTGTAGAATATTTTAACAAGACACTCACAAAAATACTCTATAAAATCCAAGATGCTGTTGAATCTATATATCCCAATTCAAAATTAATAAAAGTATGGGTTAGGCATTTGCCTATGGTTATTAATTACAGTATCTAAATAATTATCCTACACATTTCATTTGAGAATTAGGAACTAAGGAATGAGTTTTACCTATAAAAGTTATCATGTTAGAAAAAGTAGAATTGAGATTATCCACAAAATATAAGCATCCAGTTGAAAAAATGAAATAATGTTAAAAAAAGATGATGTTATTCAATATCTTCTTATTATTGCAGAATGGAAAGAAGGAATGGGAAATCAAAAGAAGGCCACTGATCCCGCATACTCACCTTCTATTCATAAAATCTGAAAATTGTGGTAATAAAGAATAAGCCAGTTTTATATTATCTGGATGGAGAATTTGCATTATCTCACGGATTTGTATGAGAAGAACTCATTTTAATAGTTGATCTAGAAAAGTTGGATATCCACCTCAAAGTATATTATCTGTAAATTTCGTTCATACTTCTTCTATCAATAATGAGTTAAACTAAATCATTGGTTATACTCAAAGACGTAGTAGTCAATATCTAGAAAAGACTGGAGAAATAAATAGACATAATGCATATCTTTGGTCTTGTGAGAATGGTACATATCAATGGGAATATCCATTAAAATACATCATGAAGAAATTCGAGTAGTATCCTCTTTATCATCATATTACTAAAAGAAATGTATGATATATTTTTAAGGATCTGCTAGACAAAAAATTCCTATCTTATAAACCATCATTTTTGAATGGAATGTAACTTGATAGGTATAATGAAGAAT